CATGTGCTCCAGGCGCTCCGTGTAGAAGCCATTGAAGTCCAACCTGAGGGACAGAACACACCTGGGCAGGGCAGGTGGCAGCAGGAACCCCCCCAGGACACCCACAGGGTGCTCTGGTCACCAACTCTTGTCACCAATTGCTGTGGTGTTGGAACAATTGCTGTCACCAACTGTTGCGGTGTTGTTGTGAGGGTCCCCAGGACAAGGTGAGAGACAGGAACTGACTCCCAAGTTCTCAACAACCTTCTCAACTAGAAGGCTGATTCACTATTTTATGATATTCTATTATATTCAAATAAAATTATCTACTAAATCTACACTAAAGAAAGAGAAAGGATGCATCAGAAGGTTAGAAAAGAATGAATAATAAAAACCCGTGACTGACCAGAGAGTCTGACACAGCTGGACTGTGATTGATCATTAATTAAAAACAATTCACATGGAACCAATCAAACATTCACCTGTTGGTGAGCAACCTCCAAACCACATCCCAAGCAATCAGATAATTATTGTTTACATTTCTTTTCTGAGGCTTCTCAGCTTCTCAGGAGATTTTTCAGAAAATACCATGGTGACACCAGGGAGCCCCGTCCCTGCACGGGATGTGTGCTGTGCCATGGGTGTGGTGACACCCTCTCTGTGCCAAGCCTTTGGCAGGGAAATGCATCAGGAATCTGTCCCAAACACATTGGGAAGGACCAAATGCTCACAGCTCCTCTGCAGGCCACACAGAGGTGTCCTGAGTGGACAAGGGTTGCTCAGGGTCTGCACCTTCCCAGCCCTCCCCAGCACAGAGTTCAGCACTAACTCCCACAGGAAATCCACCCAGCACCAGGAAATGCTGAGGTTCCCATCCCCACCATCCCCTGGCTAACATCAGGATGCTCCCCATGAATCCACAACTCACCAACACCTGCACATGGCCAGAAGTTGCTCAGCCACAAGTGACACTTGGAAAAGCCTCTCCAAAGCACTCACCACCAGGGGTACCACCACAACCCCACCTCCCTGATAATCCAGAGTGATGCCACCCAGCCCCAAGCCTGCTGTGACCTTCCCTTGGCACATCCCAGAGCACCCACGGCCCGTGCAGCTCGTGTGCCCTGGATCACTGAGCAGGCAGGCAGTGACAGCCCATGAATCACACCAAAGTTACTCTCTCCCTTTCTCAAATTAGGCTGCTCCAGTACCAACTGAATGGGCACAATATTTGAGTTTCATGTTGCTTAACAACCTCACACAAACGGCAACAAATTGTTCCTTGACATTTTTTGGTGCCTGCAGAAAACAGAGCCTCGACAGATGGGATTTATCTGTTGCTCTCTCCTGGCTGAAAAGCTTTACATTGCCTTCATCCTCGAGCAGCTGAACCAGGGAAACCTGACACTGAGGTGAGAGCTCTGGGCAAGTTTTGCTTCAAACACAAGGCCAGGACTTGCTGCTTTGAGCACCTGCTCCATTTCTAAAGCTGCTTCATGCCCAGCTCAGTGACTGGCAGATTTTGCTTGGCTTCCCCTTCAGCTGTTTTTAGTTTCAAGTGATCCCTGATAACCATTTCTTCAGAATCTCTGTGGTGCTCCCTCAGCATGTGCTTACGTGCCAGTTTCTTCATTTGTGGTGAGGTTTGCACCACTCCACGTCCTGGTGACCTACTCTGAGCTCAGCTTCCTCCAAACTGGTAAGGGAAGGAAGGATGGTGGTAACCACACTGATGTATGAGATTTCTAAGAATGAGGACTTAACTAATCCTGCTGACAGAGCCCTCTCCACTGTGGCTCTGCTCCTTTTCACTCCTGGGATGTGTTGGAGTGGCTGGAGAGTTCCTGCACTCCCAAGGGAAAGGCTGGAGAAGGGCTAGGGCAGGTTTAGGTTGGATTTTAGGGAAAGGTTCTTCCCCCAGAGGGTGCTGGCACTGCCCAGGCAATGGGCACAGCCCTGAGGCTGCCAGGAGCATTTGGATAGTGCTCCCAGGGTGGGATTGTTGTGGTGTCTGCAAGATCCTTGTTGGGTCCCTTCCACCTCAGGAGATATTTTGATTCTATTCTATAACACACTGAGCAGGACTTGGGCACAGCAGAGATCTGTGAGCTCTGGAGGAAACCCTCTGCATCTCCATCTCCTGTTGGTTGATGCCACAAATAAAATGTCTCAGTTACTAAGTACCACAAAATGAATAAGTGCTAACCAGGATCAAGTAAATGATGAGCAAGTACCAGAACTGTGAATTTTGTTATTTATCTGACATGTTGATGATCCCTGTTGGAAAGCAGTCCCATAAAAAGGTTATAAATTAGAAGAAAAGTGTGGTGTGTCTTACAAACTCTTCCTTATAAACTCTCTCAAATATGTTATTTCAGATGGCAACTGTCTCCACTCTGCTTCTCAGGTTCCTGTTGCCATAGAGCCCAGGCCTGGAGCCAGCAATCCCTCCAACCTGAATGGGAGCTAAATGTCACCTCTGGGTGACATTCACTGTGGGGCTCCCACCCTTTCACCAGCCCTGAGCAGGGNCCAGAGCCCTTTCCATGAAGATCCCGGCTGTGCCACTCTCCCTGCTGGGCTGATGGGGAGGGTGGTACCAGGAGAACCCAGGGCTCCACCTTGCCTGCAGGGATGAACTTTGGGGTTGCTGATCTGCTTCAACCTCTACCTGCTGGACCAATCCCATGTGTCCCAACCACTCCAGCCCCAGAACAAGCTCCTGGTGGCCTGTGCCCCTCCTGGCTACAGGAGGAGCCAGTGTGGAGCCCACCCATCTCTGTCTCACATGGGTTTGGTGGTGGCCAAACCTTGCTGAGAGCTTCTTCCCCACCCAAGAGCAAACCTAACCTCTTTCCAAGGTCTCAGAAAGCAGGAGAGTCTCTACCCATAACAAGGCAGGTTTGGGATGTCCAAGAACCACCCAAGCCAAGACCAAACCCAGGTGCCAGCCATCAGACAGCCCCATCAGGCACGGAGCTCATGGCAGATGTCCTCTCCAGAGGGATCCCTCGGGGTGGGAGAGCTCCCCTTGCCGAGGGTTCGGTGCCGGCGCACGCCCGGCACAGATGGCGTCTCTAAATAGCCCGGGGAATGTTTATCTCGTGGACAAGTTTAGGTTTCTGGAGCAGGGAAAACAGATGCTTTGGGGAGTGTTTTTGAAGCTAGCTTATCAGGAAGGGTTTGAATCACAGAGGAACGTGCTGTAAGGCACTGGGGGATGCGTGTCCCCGGTCCCTCCGTGCCTCCAGGCGCTAAAATCGGCGCTTTTTGGGGCTAGAAAAGGAATTTAAAACAAAAAAAATGGCTGAATTTCACTGTGAGGCAATGAGGAAAGTGACTTTGAGGTCAGGCACTCCAAACTCCTGACTCAAACCCCATTCCTTCCCCCAAATTGCCAGGTTTCCCAAGAAAAACAGCGCTGGTTTGCTTTCATGTGGATTTCTGCAACTTTCTGATTCTTATTTCTCCGTCCCAGAGGACAAAAAAAAAAGCCCCAACTTCAGCAAACACAGCAAGAAAAGTGCTTACAGCTCCACGAGGCTCTGCAAACCCCTCCTTAAGGAAAGACCAGATGTCACAAGATCACGGCAGGGCTGCAAGAGGTGGCACCGCTGGGTCACGTCTCCAAAAAAAGCACTGGAGAAAGCAGCCCCGCTCTGCAGGT